TTTCTGCGGCTATCCACCCGGACGTTCTCGCGCCACACGATTCGACCCCGACTGCTAGCTGTCGCAACAATGCCGAATCGCTTCAGGGCTAGGTTGAAGGATGTTAGCAATCAGACGGGTATATGTCTACGGAAAGCAATGTGGCAGACCTCCAAGTGCATCCTGTGGACAGTTTGCTCGCCTTGCATCTGTTGTTTACTGCTGTTCCTACCCCATCGGCATGGTAGAACAAGACCTCCTCTTTTCGATATAGAACCGCCAATGATGCCTACCCCTCGCAGGCGCGCTCTTTCAATTTCGAGAGAATTGCAATCGAACCAATTGACGGTTGCTCAATCTCAGTCTACCTTTATCAACAAGCTACCTTTGGAGATTCGACGTATGATCTACGAAAAGGCCCTAGGAGAACAGCCCATACATACGACTGTATCAGATGGGAAGCTTATTGCTCGACGGTGCGGTTTGAGGAACTGCACGTGTTATCTCAGGCCCTGCCCACCCGGTCAGAGGTTACATTTGGCACTCCCTTTGCTTAGGACCTGTCGACAGATGTAAGTCATACATCCAATATAACCGAGCATTCGTCTTGTTAGCATTAGACTGACCAGCTGATATTCTCAGCTACTCCGAGGCCGTTGAATATCTTTACAGAGCCAACGAGTTTTTCATCTCTACCGACTTGGAAGACTTCCCAACAGCTGGTTATCTCTCTTACTTCTTCCAATCTCAACGCATCGCGCAGATCGGCAATCTCAACATTGAATGGGATCTTGACCGTCATCAGTATTTCAATGTCAACCTAATGCCTGACCATCACCGACGAGAGTGGTACAGGTCTTGGGACGGCTTAAGCAACATGACTGGCCTCCGCCGACTACACATCAAGTTCTACTTTTGCCTAGACCTTTGGCAGGGATGCTATGGCGAGTTCTGGGAGCAAAATAACAAGGAGCTTCTCCAGCCTATCAAAAAGATCACGGCTCCAAGAGACTTCCTCATCACTCTTCCAAACTGGCAATGTTCGACCAACATTGACGTTGGTGAATCCAGATGCACTTTCAAACTGCCGGAGAGGGTTGACCTGGAAGGGAACGCGTCGTGACGCGTCCGTGTGCAAGGACGCTTCTCAGACGGTCGCAATCATAGGAACGGTAGCTTTTCGGAAATAGATGCGAAGCGATCTTGAATACTCATGAAATTTACTGAGAAGCTCGTTCCTTCTGGATTGCACCAAAAATTTGACTTTCGGAACATCCACCAGATTTTACTCTCGTAAGCACTTCAGCGTAACTACAGTGCATCCATCCCTCAAGGTGTGGTACAGTTTTATGTACAAGTCACTTGAATCCAACGTTTTCGGATGAAGGCTCTCACACCGTAGACCGAGGGAACAGGAGAATCTACAAGGGCAAAGACATTAGACCAGTTCTACCGCTTCTTCGGAGTACACGACTCCAAGAAGCAAAACGCGGCCAAGACACAACACGACAATGACGCATAAGAGACATGCACCCAAGCTCTCGCTAGCGGCTTGATCAGGTTTTGTTCCGCCCTCTGTACCAGCGCGCGTATCTTATCGCGTCGTTGATCAACGTGACAACTTGGCAGCTTGGCGAGCTAACTCGTCCTGAATAGCTTTCCATAACCATCTCATCCTCCGCCAGCCTTTGTGCACAGCCAAGAGCTTCGAGCTAGGGTAGCTCCACCACGTGCAGTAGCTACGCAGCTCAGCTCGAACACCTCCAACCGTGCGGCGTGTGATATTTCGGCGTATTTGATCCATCCGAGGCATTGTATAGCTCTGGCGCTTCTCCGGCGCAGATAAGAAGCAAAACATGGCCGCCAGTATGCTTATGCTGCAGGAACCATTTGAATTCCCAGGTTCCCGGAAATCTCTGGGCTGAGAATTGTCGCAATGCGCTCTTTCGTTGCTACCTCTGTCCTCCTTGGGCTTGCCTCCGCTGCTGCTGTACCTGCTATCGCGCCTCGTGGTGGAGACGGCTATGGTCATGGCCACGGGCACAAGAAGTTCAACGTGCAAGTAGGCGTCCGGCCGTACTATCTTGTCGATAACATGGACGATGGTCCGTTGAAGGAGAAGCTTGAGAGTTGTTCAGAGCAAGAATTCAAGACCTCGGACTTCGTCTTCGCGCATCGTGGAGCGCCACTTCAGTTCCCCGAGCATACTCTCCAGAGCTACAAGGCTGCACACCGTATGGGTGCCGGCATGATCGAATGCGATGTTGCCTTTACCAAGGATAAGCAGCTCGTCTGCCGCCACGCCCAATGCGACTTGCACACCACAACCAACATCCTCAACACTACACTCGCCGACAAGTGCACCACCCCGTTTTCGCCCGCCACCAATGGCACCGCTGCATCGGCTAAGTGCTGCACCTCGGACATCACACTGGAAGAGTTTGGTACCCTTTGCGGCAAGATGGATGGCTTCAACCCCAACGGCACCACAGTTGAGGAATACATGGACGGCACCCCCTACTTCCGCACCGATCTTTACGCTCAAGACTGCCCCAAACTCATGACAGTTGACGAATACATTCCTTTGGTGGACAGCTGGGGCCTAAAGTACACTCCCGAGCTCAAGACACCTGAGGTTGAAATGCCTTTCAATGGATACACACAGGAGCAGTATGCTCAAGACTTGGTTGACAAGTTTCGCGAGTACGGCATCGATCCAAGTCGCGTGTGGCTCCAGTCTTTCCTTCCTGACGACGTCTTCTACTGGATTGATAACGAGCCTGAATTCGGAGTACAAGCTGTGTATCTCGACGAACGCGTTGACACTCCTGAAGGTTACGCCAACGCTACGGCTAGCATTCCTGAACTTGCTGCTCGTGGCGTTAAGATTATGGCCCCTGCTATGTTCGCTCTTACCAAGCTGAATGATGCGGGTAAGATCGTCCCATCGGAATATGCCATCGCTTGCCAAGAGCATGGTCTGGACATGGTCGCATGGTCGTTCGAGCGCTCTGGATGGCTGCAAATTGAGGGCGGTGGATATTACTACCAGTACGTCGCCAACATTACGAACAATGATGGCGATATGTACACAGTACTTGATGTGCTTGCTCAGGATGTAAAGATCTTGGGGATGTTCTCGGACTGGCCAGCCACAGTCACTTACTATGCCAATTGCTTCGGGTTATAGGCGGTAGTAGAGCCTTATATATAGACCTTGAGGGTAATGGAGTAGTGATACAGTATTGAAGATACTATCGACTCAAGCAATACAACCAAAAGTACCTGCAACTGTGATCATTTCCCCTATCTAGTACCGTTCCAAGCGTTGATTATGGCAAGCAACTGTACAGTCAACCCTCATAACAAAGGAACAACGGAGAATAGGAAGGTTATAAGCATTACCACTTACGTAGTTACAACATTATCTCAATCTAACACGTTCAACACTAAGTCACCATAGTAGTGCAAACTTCGTAGTAGGCAACCTGGCGGGGTCCTCGCCTCTCCCTCTGCTTCCCTCTACCATATTGTGACCTCCTACACTGATAGCTGCTGCGCGGTCTGCTGGATCCAAAGAATATAACATAAACAGAAAGATGGGTTGGAAGTCCTAAAGTATGCTACTCCATGGTTTACTGGGTCGAGGCGGGCTCAAGAGCTTTCCTGTCATCGTGATAGTTCCAGACCGAGCGTGAGCGAGGATCATGGGGGCATCTGATACCCCAGTCTACGCGATGGCCGAGATCAAGTACGTTACAAGGGTAGCTCTTGTAGAACGGGCTGTTTCTGACTTTCCTTGATAAGAAAACCTTGGAACAACGCTGCTAGTAGGTGCAACTACTTTCGCTTCTCGGAATATCCTTGGATAAATCCAACAAGGGGGATCAGGTTAGGCTCCAGGAAAGTCTATAATAGATCTCGTGAATGTGTGCAGTATTTGTAGTGCAAACAACTCGCACTGAGAGTCTGATCTGTTTGCTCACCGCTTTACTTATCGTACACGCATCACCCTAGTGTACATAGAGACTAACAATAGATGCGTGAGACTTCAAAATCCAAGTCATGGAGAAAGGACCAAGATAAAGAACACCCAGGAACATTCAAGCCCCGTGCTTACGATGCACTTAGGTGAGATTTGGAAACGCCGATCTTACAGCTTTTATTCTTTCTAGATATCAATTCTTGCCATAGTCAAACTCCACCAAAGGACATACCACCTACGTCTTCGACTTGACGCTGCCAGGGGTGAACGACGGAGCCGCAGCATTCAACCCTTTAGAAGGCGGCGGCTTGCTTTCGTTGACCGACTGGCTAATCGCAATGCCCCATGCGCGCCCATCAGTGGACTGCTGTGTAGTTGCGCCCCATTTCTGACCAGTGCCAATGCCTGTGACCTTTCGCCAGTCTTCAACGTTGTTGTTTTCGGACATCTCAATTGTTTTGGATAGAAGAGGGTGAGTGGGTAGACGTTGTAGATTAGTTCGATTGTAGCGTGTGGCTGTTGAGTATATACAGTTCAGGAAAACGTACTTGAACGCAAGATTGGGGGTACAATGTACATGGTCAGTGTGTGAATGAATACGAATTCCATCTATTATGGAGTCCAGGGGTGCCGTAAAACGCACTATTCGCAGGTGTAAATGCATGAAATACAATGATTAAGAGGCGTTAGGTTTTGACCACTCCAACGTTGTGTGTATGTGCGCGTGCGTACGTGTTTGATCATTGAAGTGCAATTTCTCTGTAGCACCTATGGCGTGCGTAGAATGAGGACATTGCTTGACTAGGATACGTCCTTGGAATGTCTGCGCTCTTGCACTCTGTTCCTGTATCCTCCATATCTACTGTATGTGCTTTGTATAATGTAAAGATACGTATTCGTGCGCAGGTGGGGACATAGTGCGAGCGGCGTCAGCTTTGGCCCGCTGGATATCAGCTTACCAGTAAAGTAGCATGACGGTATTCATACTAACTCTCCTCCAGGGTGCCTCCGAGTGTCGTATAGAATACCTTCTGGCTTACTTGTTCCGCAATGCACGCTCTTCAAAGTCCCGTATAAGTGCTTCTGCTGCTGCAGCATGTTTGAATTTTTCCTGCTCTAGAAGCCCGTTCTTGTAATTGTGCAGTTGTTCCACAGTCTCTACTGGAACGTGAGTCTCTCCCCTTGCCACATCGACTAAGCTCAGCCAATCGTGCATATAAAACTGCTTCTGATGCTCCCCATCTTCTGTTTCAGGTAGTCCAGATATCAAATCGAACAATATGTGGTTTAGAATGATATATTCCTCACTGTGATCGAGCGAAAATGGCCTGAACATTGCTGCGACGCATTCGACTTCTCTGAGGATATAGTCTCTCTTCTGCGCTGGTGATGCATCCCTTGGAAATCTCCATTCCACGCGATGGCCATTCTTTATCATAGTAGTCACAAACTTGTGACTGGCAGTATCCAGCCAACTGAACGCCATGTGGGGGCGCAACACAGCCTTCTCCTCCTTTGTCAAGGAGGCGAATGACATTGCTTCCTGTTCAGCCATAACCGTTCGCTTCCAGTGTCGCTCTGCAAGCATGGGAACATGGACTAAAGACTTGTTGAACTTCGGGTCGTCGTTAAGTCTACGCAAAGCCACAGCCTCCTCGTAACGAGACCTTTGTATGGATGGCATGTGTTGATCCATATTCAGTCCCAGGAATGGAAAAGCCAATAACCCGGCCCACGTTCCTGTAGAGACGGCTCCGAGCCTTCCAAGCAGACGTTTTCCAACTGAAATACTATTCAAACCCTTCATCCTAAAGGAAATGAGTAGGCCTGCAATTCCTCCGGCAAGCATAGCATCATCGCCCGTGAAGCCGTGGCTGCTCTGCCACAACTGGTATTTTGGCGGGGTAATGCCTTCGTAGCGAAGGATCATTTCATCCAGCTGACGTTCACGGTGCGTCAAGTAAACCATCGTAGGTACGCTAATGACTGTACCAAGACCTGCTCTAGTGAAGAAGTACGCAGATTTTGTCGGCAAACTCAGCAATGGTCTTTTAATAATAGTTCGACCCAGAAGGAGAGTAGTAGCAATTATCGGCGGCAACAAGATAGTTGCAGTTAGTTCGTTTGCGCAAAAAGGTTCTTCTTGTTCGCGTATGGCTGGATGGAGACCTTGTTGTGTGTGAATAGCTATCGCTCAAGATAAGATGCTATGTAGTCACCAAACTCACCTGCACCCGGAGGCACAAAAAGACGAACCATTATCGAGGACCATCAGAAGATTGGAAAGAAGCAGTCTGAGAATTAATCGTAAGAGTGACACAAGAAGATAAGACTATAGTTGCGGCGTGGTTGCACAGGGCTAACGTCCGAGAAAGGCTAGATCCCGCGGACATGAATGCTGACTCATCATCGAATCTTCGCATCCGCTCAACACCAGCGAGTCTGTTGCCAACAGGAGGATAGCCATCCACAGCCATGCCACCACGGCTAAGAGCGGTCCGAGCCGCCTCAAATCTGCTGTCTGTATGTTCAAGAACACCTACAGCGGCATCGATCGCCCCATTTCTCTGGCCCGCTCAGCAAAGATGCGCGTCCATTCTGTCTTCGCTCTCCGACAATTCAGGCGCCTACAATAAAAAGATCCGCCGAGGTCGCGGACCTGCTTCAGGAAAGGGAAAAACCGGTGGACGTGGTCAGAAGGGTCAGCACGCACACGGCAAAGTCCCGGCAGGTTTTGAGGGAGGTCAGACACCACAATGGATCACCAATCCTGAGCGAGGGCGGGGGAAGTACAACCCCTTCAAGGTGGAAATGTCGCCGATCAATCTGGACCGAATTCAGGATTGGATCAACCAAGGGAGATTAGACCCCAAGAAACCCATCACTATGAAGGAACTGGCCAAATCAAGGTGTTTGCACGGCGTTAAGAGGCATGGCGTCAAGTTGCTGGCGAGGGTATGCATCTACCCTTTACGCCCGCTGCATGGATGCTAATTGTGACTGCAGAATCCGGAGCAATTGACTACACCCATCAACATCGTCGTCTCGCGCGCCTCTGCCGACGCTATCGCACGCATTGAAGCTCTCGGCGGCAGCGTAACAACACGCTTCTACTCCCCCACAGCCATCAAGCGCGTCCTTCGAGGCGACACACACCCTACCATATCTCTTCAAGCCTCACCAGACCTTGTCGCTCTCACCGGCCGCTTGCCAGCCGCCAAGATCCCTTCGCCTATCCTTAGCGCCCTTCAGACAGCCAGTGAAGAAAAGAAGAACGAAGCCATGGCTGCTGTCATGAAGCAGATTGGTTCCAAGTACAAGTACAGACTGCCTGATGCGACTGGCAGAAAAGACATTGAATACTACCGCGATCCAGCACATAGAGGGTACTTGAACTACCTCATGAAGGATGGCGAGAGCCCGAGTCTGTTCTTCAAGCCGCCAGGCGAGGCCAAAGACAGGAAGAAGCAGAGCGCGAGGAGAGATGCCGCCAAGGCGAGCGCGGACAACAAGCTATTTTAGAGAGGGGCACCGGAGCATGTATCATACTATGTGTATAATCAGTAGTCGTCCACGCGGACGTACTACTACAGTGGGTGGAGACGCAATGCAGAACAATGACCTGACGTGCATCCATCGGCTTACGAATTCTCGTCCATACCAAACATTCTTTGGACGCTCGCTCCGCTGACCAACACTGGCACCATTGACTAACAGATAGGCTCAGATACCATCGTCTCTAGCTCTGCCACGATGTCGTTATCCGGCAGGCACATAGTAGGAAGTGGCTGTGCAGCCTAACATCAGCCATTGCGCGGCATCCCTAAAAGCAGAAGTAACCCAAAACCCAATTAACAACCAACAATTCAGCACCTTTGTGCATAGCCCCAACAACAACCACTGCGGCGGTGTGTTTAGTGAAGTCGGCGTCAACAAAGAAGCGCGGGATCATGCTTGTTTCGAAACGTTTTATTACTATCACCATGAAACGTGTCGCACTGTCCACAATGGTCAGTCCTCACTGTTAAATCCTGCGACATTACCCCAGTGTACGGATCACGCTTGGTGCAAGATATGGGAAATTCATGTCAGATGGCACGGACGTCGGCAGAGTCCCTGTGCTGGAAGTAGAGGCCTTGTGTCATTTTATATTGCTGATGTCATGTCGGTCTGGGTGTGAGGAATAGAAAAAGTGCAAGCCTCACGTTGAAAGTCTACAACAGCGTGTTGAGATTCGATTCATGTTGGCCGATGAGCCAAATGTGGTACAGGCAGCTAGGTAGCCCCAAAGGTGTCTCAGCTGGGGATTAAGTTCCGCAGCGTAATCTATGTTAACGTGTGCTAGTTCGGCTAACTTCCCTCTTGAGTCGTTTCTCCTCTAAGAATGACCCGAATAATCTTCACTTAATCGCATACTCTAAGAAGCAGCCTGGGCCCGATTAACCAATGCTGCAAATGTATTTGCAATCCTCTATTACATCGAAACACCAATGTCGAAGGCGAACACCTTTTGCAGTGCGTTTCAATATTGGGATACAACCCAGCGAACAAACGAGCTTGTTCGTGCCGGTAGAAGCGACGGTTGTTTTCGTGATAGCGGAGCCCAACTTCAGCTTCATCGGCAGCAATAATGCCTGTTTAGTCGAGGCTGGGGCATCCTCACCGGAGGGCGGACACCCGTGTGATGGGAATCTGTGATCTGCAATCAACGAGGACGTTATCCGATGACGAGAGGTCAGGCCAATGTAAAACTAGATATGTGGACATGACATGGATTGACAGACGCTGACAGGGATTTTAGTTATGCGGAATCCCGCCCTGTCAGGCAGTGCAGTTGAGACATGAGCTTCCTCTGGATGTCCTTGGAAACATGTCACAAAACTATTAGCTGCAGTGAGAGACGGACGATGGAAGATGATGATGCACATGAAAGCCTTCGTGCCGGTGGTAAACAGCCGCGACGTGTCCATAGGAGTCAGCATAGACCTAGTTGGTCGGCGCTCCGCTTGTGCGAGCCGGTGAGACTGTCTGCACGTCTTACAGATCCTCTGAGTCGACGGCTGCGTGCGGCGTTCTTGCTTGCTTCGTCTCTCTTTGTCGCTGCACAAGGCTGAGTAGTGACTATGGGGATGCGTAGCGATAACTCGGCAGGATCATCTGTGAATGCACATGGTGGCGCAAGCCAACGTATCCTGATCCATTCGGTGACATGCACGTGGTGCAAAGGCTGTCTCGTTTTGAAGTAAGAAAGTGATGCGTCGCTTTTCCTTATACGGTTGAATCAAATGCGCTGAGCAATGTACTGCGGCTCCTAGAGGGGTGAGCGCGGCCTGAGTCCGTTCCAGCAAGTACAACGTCTGTACACGGGGTGCGTTCGTGTTGTCTGGAAGGTGAGCTGCAACCGGCTCCGCGAGCGACACCCCAAAAGTTGCTTCTGAACACGGAAGGAGGTGTGGAGTGATGTTAGCCGGTCGCCTTTGTTGGTTGTTGCATGATGGTGGCACGATGACTCGTCGCGCGCGTCGAAAGCACCGCCAGATGTCCAAGCTGGAACATCGTTGTTCGAATCGAGCGCTAGGCAGCCAACGAATTGCAAGTCGTTTGTTGTGTAGCCTTGAAGGAGTCTCGCCCGGCAATAAAGTAAAGTAGAGCCTGAACTTGGCAAACTAGCTCGATGAATTGTATTTGGAAAAGATAGCGAGGGTTTACCGACGTCGGAAGCATTGTCTTTGGCGCAAATAGATGGAGCCTCCTGCATGATACTTGGTACGCATGGGGCATGATAATAAGGTGCGACTTGGTCACACAAAGTTGGTTGGCTGACTGACGCGTGAGTGGCTTCGCTAGTGTGCTAATGAAGCTCGTGGCGTAACGCATACGGGACTTGTCGTCCTCCATGACAGTGTCAGCCGCGGGATAGATGATACGGGTCAGCTGTGCATCGGGCAGGCTAGCATGGCCTCGTGGATCGGTACCAACGCCCTTGTACATATTCACATTCAATCTCCGGTGGGAAGTAGCAAGTATCGGTACCCCTTGGATAAAGCCTATCCTCCCGTATTATGGCCTGTCCGGTCAGCATGCTGTATCACTGTCAGACGAACGGCTTTGCAGCCCGAGTGCGATGTGGTTGCGTCACACTATACTTTAATACAATGACCAGAGGATCACATCTAAGCATAGCAAGGGATCCATCATATTGGACGAGCAGACCTTGATGTTGGGTTGCTGAATGATTAAGGCGTGCTCGCTCTAGAGCGTGGGGTTGCGCGTTGCTCATTCGTCGGGAACCGTCTGACCTACTTCTTTCAGCACCAGAGAGCGGGGAACTGGATAGGGATCTGAGGACGCCGCAAGCCGTGCAAAAAGGCTAAACTCGACCCAGTGGACTCGTGTGGCAAAGAAGTACAAGATCCTGAGTCGGCATGAGACTTGTTGCAGTGCGTGCGTCTATCGCGTTCTGCTTTTGCAGCTGGGCCGCTAAGGCAGCAATCGTAGACCGGAATTAAAGAGCCGTAGCCAAGATGCATCGCACTTCTTGATCGCGAACGTTTTTGGGCACAGTGTCGTAAGAGGACGGCGAAAAAAAAACCCACCCATATCGCGCGCTGGCCAAGGGCTTGCGTGCCCATCGCTGGCGCCAACCATATACGATGATCTCGGCTGAGTGGTTTTGGCAAACGTCTTGTGGCCAGGTTGCTGCACATGATGAAATGCACTAGGGGCGCATCCATGAAGCTGCTGCTCGGCAGGGTCGATTTGTTGAAGGCAGACGATGGAGTCCATCGACGATAGATGCATGGTGTAATGTACGCGTCGTGGAAGCGCGGTACGTCTCAGCGCGCCATGGCCAAGCTAATAGATGTGCCGTTCATGGTATAGACTGGGCAAGACGGAAACGAGTCGTTGGGGCTCGTATATTCGTGTAATGGTGAGGAAAGCGGTGCCGAGTATCGTCCGTCCCTTCCGTACTACGCCCCCCCAGCCGACCGTGGAAGGAGCTATTGCCCTTTCTGCGCCAAAATAGTCACCATCAATCTCCACACGACGGTCAAGACGCTCGGTCAGACGGGATCGCTGTTGAACATGTACGAAGGTACTGGCACTGCAAGCGATGATGCACAGCGGCGAAGTTAGTTTCGATAGAGCCATGACTATTGCAGCGCGGTGGAGGACCATGGGCGGTCGTATCACGCGTATCAGCGAATCGCCAGCCGAGTCGTCCAGGCATCCCGAGCCTCCCGTTGGCATGGAGCGAA